TGGAAAACAGTATGGTGGTTCCTCAAAAAATTACAAATAGAATTACCAAATGATCCAGCAATTCCACTTTTGGTTATATACCCAGAAGAACTGAAAGCAAGATCTCAAAGAAATATCTGTACACCTATGTTCATAGTAGCACTATTCACAATAGCTAAAACACAGAAGTAATCCAGTATCTATTGATGAGGGAATGAATAAGCAAAATCTGGTAGATACATACAAGAATATTATCCAGCCATAAAAATGAAGGAAATTCTGACATATACAACATGGATGAACCTTAAGGACATTACGCTAAGTGAAATTAATAAGCCAGTCACAAAAAGACAAACACTGTATGATTCCATTTATAGAAGGTACCAAAATAGTCAAAATCATAAAGACAGAAAGTAGAAGGACGGTTTTCAGAAGCTAAGGGGAGGGGGAAATGGGGAGTTATTGTTTAATGGGTATAGAGTTTCAGTTTTACAAGATAAAAAGAATTACGGAGATATATGATGGTGCTCGCTGCACAACAATGTGAAGATATTTAATACCATTGAACTGTGCACTTAAAATTGGGTAAGATGGTAAATTTTATGTAAAATGTATTTTACTGCAATAAAAAAAATAGTTCAGCATAGAGTTACCACATGATCCAACATTCCACTCCTAGGCGTGTACTTAAGAGAACTGAAAACATGTTCATACAAAAATGTATACTCAAATGTTCATAGCAGCATTATTTGTAACAGCCAAAAAAACAGAAACTCAAGGGTCCATCAACTAATGAATGAATAAACAAACAGCGGTACATCCATACAATGGAATATTATGTAGCCACAAAACAAATGAAGTACTAATACATGGTACAGCATGAATGAACCTTGAAAACATTTATGCTCAGTGAAAGAAGGCATTTGCAAAAGGCCCCCTATTATACAATCACGTTTATATGAATTACGGAGAGGAGGCAAATCCACAGAGACAGAAAGTAAATCAGTGGTTGCCATGGCAAGTAGGAAATGACTGCTAATGGGTACAGAGTTTCTTTCTAGGGTAATGAAACTGTTCTAAAATTGACCATGGTGAGAGTTTGTGCAACAGACTTTGTGTATGTCACCATACTAAAACCCCCGGGGCTGTGTACTTTTAAAGGATGAATTTTATGGTATGTGAATTATATCTCAACAAAACTGTTATAAAAAAAAAAAAAAACTTCCCACACAGAAAATTCAGCTGCAAGATGAGTCATTCCATCCACCACTCCACAGGCTGCCATACATGTAGATTAGCAGGTAACGGTGCTCCCCTGGGTGGGAGGGGCGCAAGGTGGTGGCCCTGCGGGACAGTCGTGCAGGTACATTCTATGACCCACTCAGGAACACAGAAATCTAATATTATACGAAGTTTTCCATAGAACAAATAAGCAAGGCTCTCCAACTCATTGTGGTTGGCACAATCATAACCCAAATCTAGACAATGGCAGTATCCAAAGGAAACATTACAAGTCAACTGATTAGAATTAAGGCTCCTAAACAGGAGCACGTGGGCGGCTCAGTCGGTTAAGCATCTGCCTTTGGCTCAGGTCATGATCTCAGGTTCCGGCGATCAAGCGCCTGGGATCAAGCCCCGCATGGGCTCCTTGCTCAGCGGGGAGACTGGTTCTCCCTCTCCCTCTGCCCCTCCCCCTGCTTGTGCTCTCTCTCTCTCTCTCTCAAGAAAAAAAAAAAAGTTCCTAAACAAAACACTAGCTGATTTCAGCAATACATTGAAAAGATATTACATCATGACCAAGTTTTATTTAAATGCAAGGTTGACTTAACATTACTAAATTGGTCGGTGTAATTCACCACGCTAATAACTTAAATGATACACGACCATCTCAAAAGATGCATTGATAGGGAAAAAAAGGGTTCTGTAAAATTCATTCCTAATTAAAGGGAAAAAATCCTAGAAAACAAGGGGTAGAAAGGACTATCCTTGACTCGATAAAGGTTATTTACATACACACACACACACACACACAGAGCTACATTATTTTAAATGATGAAATGGTGAAAGCATTCCTTTTCTTTTTAAAGATTTTATTTATTTATTTGACAGAGAAAGACAAGCAAGAGAGGGAACACAAGCAGGGGGAGTGGGAGAGGGAGAAGCAGGCTTCCCACCGAGCAGGGAGCCCGATGCGGGGCTCTATCCCAGGACCCTGGGATCACGACCTGAGCCGAAGGCAGACGCTTAACGACTGAGCCACCCAGGCGCCCCTGAAAGCATTCGAAAACTTTTCATTAAAATCAAGAACAATATAAAGATGCCTGCAATCATGCTTCATATTGTATTTTTTTTTTAAAGATCTTATTCATGAGAGAGAGAGCACATGTGAGCAAGAGCATAAGCAGGGGAGAGGGGCAGAGGGAGAGGGACAGGCAGACTCCCTGCTTAGCAGGGAGCCTGACTTGGGGCTCGATCCCAGAACCCCAAGGTCATGATCAAGCCAAAGGCAGATGCTTAACCAACTGAGCCACCAAGGTACCCATTCATATTGTATTTTAATAAGCTCCTGATGATTCTGATGGCGGGGATCCAAGCACCCACCTGAGCTGGAGAAACCACTTGCCTAGTGAGTTGGCTCCTGGGTCCTTAGGGCCCAAGCCCTCCTACCCAATACCACACCATCTGGCTATGCTTCCGTTCTTTCATAATAATCCCACTGTTCTATTTCATTTTTCTTGGACCCTCACAATAGCCCTGTGAGACTAAATTAACAGATATTATCTCCACTTTACAGATCAGGAAACTGAGGTTCAAAGAGGGTGGGGAAGTGGCCCAGTCCACACAGCTCATTAATATGCTAAAGGAGAGGCTATCCAGGGCCCCTGTATGAAGACCTGATGATGGTAATTGCAGCCGACATTACTGACTTGACCCCATGTGCCGGGCACTTCACATGGGCCATCTCATAACCATAACCCCAGGAAGCAGATATTCCCATCACCCCATTTTCCAGGTGCAGAAACTGAGGTAGGGCGATTAAGTATCTTGCCCAAGGTCACTCCACAGACTGGGGATCAGAACCCAAAGAGCCCACCAAAAATAAGCTTAGCATTTGTAGGAGGTCTATTCTAAATATTCATGCAAATTACGTATGCATTTTTCTCAATATACTCGCACCTGTTTTAACAACAAACATTCCTGTCCCGCTCCCCCAGCAAATCTTCAAATAAAAGTACCCTCCAGGCAGGCAGAGCCACTGTTCGCTCCACGGCCGCATGAACCTTGAGCATGGGGCCCCAAAGCCCCGTAGTGGATGTAGGTGCCCAAGGAAGGTTTCGAAGCAAACAGTGGATGTGAGGTGCGATGTTGGATCTCCACCTGACTAGCGCCATTTTACTAAAAAAGATACTATCACCTCCAACCTCTATGAAAACCTGGACAGAGGAGACACGTTCCTCTTTAGCACTCCAGGGTTTTCTGGTCCTCGTCTCCAGGGTCCCCACACTTCAGAAGCCCACAAAGTAGCCGCTGAGACCTTCACTTCCCCTTCACATCTTTCCTGGGCACATGCTCTGAATGCGACCTTGCCCAAAACACCCAGGGAGACATCTCAGCAGCACCCATGACCTCTCTCCCAAGAGTCCCCACGCCTGCTCGCTGCTTCCCTGCCCCCAGGCCTTTGTCCACACCAGTCCTTCCACCTGTTCTGGTCGGCCCACCTCCCACCTCCTACCCCCCCTCAAGCCATCTTAAAGACCTCCCTGAGCCCTTCCTGCCCCATGATGGAAGGAACCGGTCCCTCCTCGGGGTCTTTCAGGACACACCCTAACCCACTTTGCAACAGAAGCGTGAGTCCATATTTTACAATCCTTAGGGGCAGGATTTGTATGGGATTATTCAGAGTCCGGTACGGAGTGACAGCTTGCAACACGGCAGGGCGTCAAGAAAAATTTCGTGAGTGGATGAATCAAAGAATCACCCCGTGCTCCCACTAATCGCAGCCACCAGTGGTCTGTGGGTAGAAGCCCGTGGAGAACTGCACCAGGAGGAGGCACAGCCCTGGGAACCCACAGGAGGCGTCCTGCGAGGCCAGCCTCATTTTTAATTTGTCCGTCACCTGCTGTGTCCCTCGCCTCTTCCCACCAGACTGCTCTGCCCGTGTCCCACCACCCCCCAGTGCCACCTAGCTGCAGCCACGCAGCCACCCAGCCGCACAGGCTTTCGGACAGAGCCTGGCAGGCTGCCCGCTCCTCATCTCTGTGCGCGGGGCTGAGCACGCCCAGGACTTAGGCTTCTGAGGGAAGTCCGAAGTGCTTGGCAGTCAGCAGCGTGGAAGGGTCTCCCTTCAGTCTGTGACATCCTCCAGATGAAACTTCCCACCCTGGCTCGTCTTCAGTCAAAAAGGAAGGGAATGTGACGCGGCAACAAGAGTGTGTAAGAAGTGATGTTTGCTCCGCCAGGGAAGGGGGTGCGCCGGCAGAGGGGCCTCACCTCAGGCCGCTTACAGATGCGGATTGTCAAGGCCTACCAGGTGTCTTGGAGTGGCCGCCTGTGAGCTCCGGGGCCCAGGAGTCCACGATGGGGCCAGGGCTGAGGCCCACGAGACCACCCTCCTCCTCAGCCCAAGCCACGCCGGGCCCGAGCCTCCTGCAAGTGATACGGACAAGGGCAAAGCCACACACCCGAGGCGACTTGGCCCCTGGCCTGCTTTCCAGCACCCCAGGGAGGGGCCCAAAGGAAACGTCTACCCAGCAGGACGCCACTGGCTACATGTCTTCAGCTCGAATGTGGAGTCTCAAGAAAGACTTTGCTTCGGGATGAAATACAGATGTCACAGGGAAGGGTTACAACGTCAACAGTCTCAGGATCCCTCCCATTTCCAGGTTCAGTGTAGGTGGGGGAGACGGGGGTGCTCGCTGAAGACAAAGCCGGCACCCCCCTCCCCCCGCCCACCCAGGGCAGAGACCACACAGCGCCCTCGTCACTGCCCAGAACTCAACCACCGGACCCACAGCACATACCTGGGGCATCTGGTCGATGCTAAACAGCCGGGGCAGCTTCAGGCTCAGCATCTTGAAGCTGGGGTGGGGGGGAAGGCCGGTGGTGGACAGCAGCTCCCCGTCACCGGCTCAGAGTCCTGACAATGCCCAGGGTGCCTGTGGCCAGTCGGTACCCGGGCTACTTCCCTGAAAGAGGACGGCGTGAAGAAATCCAGTCAGCCTCAGCCCAACTCCAGCTGGATCAAGACTGTCAGATTGTTTAACCACGGAACAAACACTTGCTTGTGATGGCAAAATAATCAGGCTTCCTTAAAAACAGCAACAGAACTATCAGAGCACTGAGTCATTTATTCCAAGAGTGCTGGAGGGGGGTCATTCACTCATGATATGGGTGATCATAAAGTTGGAGAGCCAGAAGGGCCATGGAGGCCACCGGGTCCCCTCACGTCGGACATCAGGGCCAGAGGGGCGGAATGACTTCTCTAAGGTTGTGTGGCTAGGGGAGAGCAGGAGTGGCTGGCTCTTGGCTGCTTCGTGGGCAGACCGTGTGATCCCAAGTTTGTGTCCACTCAGTGGGCAGAGGAGGACAAGGGCCATGCCCCCGATCACCCAAAGAAAAGCAGCTCTTCCAGAAGGCCGACGGGCATTGTTGCCCTGAGACACACACACGAACCAGACAAGTAAATCCGAGGCACTTGTTGGAGACACAGCAACTCCGAGTAACAAGGTTGTTTAAATGCAGGATTAAGACTGCTTAACAGCTGTGAGTAATGTGAGCTAGAGGGACCCGAAGCCCTCAGGACACGCCTAAGAAACAGAAACTTGCCAGCTGGGTTTAGCTGAGAAAGAGCAGTGCTAGGAATTTACCCTGGTTAATGCCTCCCCTGCTCCCATCACCACTGGGCCAAGATCTGCCACCTCCTTAGAGCGCCTCCCCGCCCCCCCCCCACGCCGAGGAATTCCCTGCCTCTGAAGGTCCAGAGACCATGCCTGTACTTCTCGTGTGACACCAACCGCCTCTGCCTGCAAGCAAAGCTACCTGCTCAGGTGCTTGGAAAGGAACCTCCTGGGATGGCTGGAAACTCAGGGTGTATGCATGGCTCATGCTGGGCCTTCAGTGAAATGCCTGTTTAACACCATTCATTAAAGCAATGGTTGCTCATCCCCTGAATTTACAGTGTGTTTTGTTTTTTGTGGTTTGTTTATACTTTGATGCTTATTATAGTTCCTTATGTTTTATGTGTTATTATCTGGAACTCTGTAGCAAAAACAATGTATTTGTGTTTCATTGCCATAAATTTGCTTCTTTCTTAAAACCACTGATGTAAGTATTATTCACAATAGTCCAAATGCGGAAACAACCCAAGCGCCCACCAGCAGACAAAAAAACAAAATACGGTCTATGCACACGATGGAATATTATTCAGTCTTAAAAAGGAATGATATTGTTGATCTGTGCTTCAACATCAATGAAACTTGAAAACATTATGCTAAGGGAAACAAGCCAGTCACAAAAGGACACATGTTCGATGATCCCGCTTATACGAGGTACCGAGACTAGGCAAATTCACACGGACAAAAAGGGGATTAGAGGCTAGGTTGGCGGAAGAATGGGGCGTTGTTGTGTAATGGGTACTGAGTTTCCGTCTGGGATGATAAAAAGTTCTGGAAACGGGGGTGGTGATGGTTGCACAACATTCTGATCATGATGTCACTGAATTATACGCCTAAAAATGGTTAAAATGGTCAATTTTACATTGTGCATATTTTACCACCATAAAAACTTGTGTAATATTTCCGGTCCAAGTTACAGAATAATGCAGAAAATGCATTTTTAAGAAAATAATTTTGAAAGCATATTTTACTTAGGTTAAAGAAAATAAAAGTTAATACTTTGCAAACAACATCGACGTGAGTGGGCCACAGCACACCTTGGTTCTCTCGGTTTTACAGTCCTAATTACCAAGACTCCCACACTCTCCGAAGCACCACAAATTCACCCAGTGGCAGGCCACGAGGTGGAGGTCCGGTACTGGGGGGAACCTCAGGCACACCAGGAAATCCTCCAACAATAATGGGACCAAGGCTGGTCTCCAGAGACCTGCCCACCTTGGTCCTCTGGTTCTTCCTCGAGTAGCCTCAATGTCATGGGCAAGGCAAGGAAAAGAAATGGTCCCCTACTCTCCCAGCACACACCATCCCAACAGGATGACCAGAGTAAACTGCAAACATAAAGGGTAATGACAATAACATATGAGTCACCCATTTCTTCATTCAGCCACCGTTTGCTGCATGTTTATCATGTGACAAGTAGTGGTAAGGCTAACTGAGTAGTTAAGGATTCTCTGTGGGTTGCTACAGCTTGAAGGACAAGGTGAGAATTTAACAGATATAAAAATTGTATGGGTTTGGGGCGCCTGGGTGGCGCAGTCGGTTAAGCGGCCGGCTCTTGGTTTCGGCTCAGGTCATGAGCTCAGGGTCCTGGGATTGAGCCCCACATCAGGCTCCATGTTCAGCGGGGAGTCTGCTCGAGGATTCTCTCTCTCCCTCTCCCTCTGCTCCTCCTCCCACGTTCATGCTTGCTCGCTCTCTCTCCCTCTAAAATAAATAAATAAATCTTTAAAAAATTGTATCGGGGGGCGCCTGGGTGGCTCAGTTGGTTGGGTGACTGCCTTCGGCTCAGGTCATGATCCTGGAGTCCCGGGATCGAGTCCCGCATCAGGCTTCCTGCTCGGCGGGGAGTCTGCTTCTCCCTCTGACCCTCTTCCCTCTCGTGCTTTCTGTCTCTCATTCTCTCTCTCTCTGAAATAAATAAAATCTTTAAAAATAAATAAATAAATAAATAAATTGTATCGGTTTGTGACACATAGAACGGAGGGAAGTAGGCATCCTCCATACCATTCTCTTCTTTCACTGCATGGGGAAACAAGATGAGTAAGACAGTCACTGTCCCCAAGAAATGTATAAAGAAAGAGAGGAGACACCCAACTAGCCAGCACAAGTCACCCTGAGAAGGAGGGAAACTCTGACTCACTGCACCAAGCCCGTACTGGTCACCTTGCCCCCCAGCCCATCTCATTCACCCCCACTGTGGCCATCTCAGGAGGCAAGGCAGGGCAGGGAAGGGCCTGGGTGCTGGATTGCAGCCACTGGCATTCAAAGACTGGTTCATCATTTCCTGTGCAACCCTGGGCAAGGAACGTTAACACCCGTGCCTCAGTTTCCCTAAGGGTAAAATGGAAATAACAGTAGTACTTTCTTCATGGGGTTGTCGTTATGATTAAAAGACAGAACCCACGTGAAGGGTCTGCCATAAAGTAAGGGTCCAACAAACACTTGCTATTATTATGAATTTTCAGAGAGGAAAATTCATTTTCTACTTTACAGGCAGGAAAATGGAAGCGTGGAAAGCTATGGGGCTTGCCCGAGATCACATAGCTAGTGGCTAGTAGAATTGGATTTGATTTCTGGTTTCATAAGTTTCCTTTTCAAAAGAAAATGGACTTTGAATAAAGGTTATGAAGAGCACAGAGCACTAGGTCTTACTTTCCCTTTGCTACTGAAAGAAGATGGACAACGCAGAGTGTTTACTATGTTTATAACCCAGAGGCTAAAGGATGGCCCTCCTTATCTGTAAATCAGGTTGAGACAAACTCTCGGGTAAGACTTGACCTTGGCTTTTTTAAAGCGGGAGATTTCTTGTGTCGTGTCTTTCTGCCAAGGAGGTAAGAACTCTTCCATTAAACCATTGTTAGGTTGCATCTGAAACGTAAAGCTTTCTGTCGAAATCGTGAAACATCCCCGGATGGTCATGGAAAGTCAGAAAGAGTGGCAGATGATTCATATGTCGTATCCCTTCTTAATCACGGCAAATAAAATTGAACATCAAATGAACTCACCGGTCTTTTTAGTTCCCACCACACGCCAAGCTCTTAATTTCACCAACACTATAAAAACCAGAGTGTAATTTCCAGTATTTCAAACAGCAGCTTGGTTTGCTCTCGCTGTCTACAGAGGCCTAGAAACAAGAGTGAATAAAACAAAAAGGCTTTGGACAGTTCCCATTAGAGACACAATGTGAAGCTTTGCCAATATTTCATTGGTATATTGGCGTTCCATGTTGAGATTTCATTTAAATGAGGGCTCCACAGCTTAAAAATATGTTTTAAAATAGCTAGAAAGGGGAAAATGTGCTATAACATACTCTCCAAGACCTGCCAAGTTCTCCTGAAATAGCCCTAAAAAACACTTAAAAAAAAAAAAAGGCCAAATTATCACAACAAAATCACCATCAAATTTCCGGCTAGTCCTCTCAGATTTCTCAGATTTAAGACCAAACAAAATTAATACAAGGTGAAATTTGCACCTGACCCCCTCACCCCTCTCAGGCTAGCACTCCATCCATATTCCTGGAGGTCCCTTCCCTCAGAAATTTCATGCTATACACTGTGGATCCCAGACCTTGTGGACTTGGCCGGCAAAACTTGTAACCTCCCAAATATGTCTACATATAAGGTTGCTGAACAGAAGTTGATGGCCTATTTTCCCAATGAGAGGGTCCAAAAAATGTGTACCTTCTAGGGATGCAAATGAACTAGTACACAATCTCTCTCTAACGTGAACTTACTAATGTGGCTAGACATATTAGAATCCCTTCCTATATCCAACATATTATTTTTAAAATACTGCTTTTTCCACTCACATCTCACAGAAGTAAGCGTATTCAAAATCTTCACATGCATCTTCGATCACAGTATCTTCATAACTATGGCCACGTTTTGGAATTACTAATATAGTTTAAGTAAAAAATATTCTCATTTCCATATATAAGTTATTTGAAGTCTGTGTTTTTTTGAGAGAGAGAACATGTGGTGGGGGGGAGGGGCAGAGGAGAGGGAGAGAGAGAATCTCAAGCCAGCTCCACGCCCAGTGCAGAGCCCCATGTGGGGCTCCATCTCACAACCCTGAGATCACGACCTAAGATCATGATCAAAGCCTAAATCAAGATATCAAGAGTCAGGACCCTTAACCGATTGAGCCACCCAGGAGTCCCCGAAGTCTATACTTTAGAGAAGCTGTGTTTAATTAAGCTGCTGCTACAAGATGTATCCTGAGTCAGAAGTATTCATTTGCTATTATTATACTCCCCATGATTTGCTTTCAAACACTTGACACAGTGTGATATG